TAGTATACACAACCCCAAGTGTGAATGGCCAGTTTTAGAAGGTTTATCACACCAGTGTAACAGCAAGGAGTTTTTTCAAGATCTAAAGGCCTGAGGCAGGAATGATTTCCAGCAGCGGTGTGAGGTAAAGTGGTGTAGTAATGAAATAAGACTATTGCTAAAGGTGCTCCTGTGTTTTACCATCACCTCATGGAGCAGATGTGCTCAAGACAGAGTGGACCTTCTCCTGACACCAACATTACAGTGTCTGAGTGAAGCCTTAGAATTTTGTCTGGTAGTATGAACCACCCTGAGACCGCGGCCCCAACAAGAAACAAAAAACAGGACAGCTCTGGCCTGTTGCCACTGGAAATAGGTGTCAATATATCTTTTAACTTATAACAAAACCATTAAAAGGTATTATTTCAGATTATTTAACTAAGCTTAAATGATCTCACTTCTTCTTCTATCTTTAAAATAGTTTTATTTAATATATTTAAATAAATAAATGTATACTGTATTGTAGCACTGACACGTTGTTTTGCATTACACTAAGCTCAAGGAGATATGATACCATTTGAATATGACTGTGAATTTGCAAAACTCTTTCAGCCATTTAAGGCAGACAAAAGTAAAGAAATAAGCGCCTGAATTTGTTGCTCAAGTATTTTGAGTGGAACCAGCTGCTATGAATGAAAAGCTATGGTATCAATTCAACAATGAACTAACTCCTCAGAATGACAACTTCTCTCTGCTCTGGGTGAAATAAAGAAAGGATGAGGATAATATAATGAAAACAAACCATTACATTCTCCAATAAACAAATAACCATTCGATAACATTTACCTTGATCACCTCTCATTCAAAATGTTTAAACAATTTTTAATCATTTCAATAAACCCTGGAGTGTTGTGGATATATCTGCATAAAGTGTCCATTGTTACAAGATAACACTGGAAAGACTAAAAGGCCAAGACATTTTTCGGCTTTTCTCAGAGGAAATTTACTGAGCACACCTGAATAAACATCGCTCCATCATTCAGACACAAAAATGAAAAAGCACTCAAGGTGCAAATGTGTCAAGACAGGCACAAGTCGGAGACAGAAGTACAGAGAACATGATATGATAAAACTGTTTTCACTCTTCACTGTCTGGTCCACAGCTGACCAATCAAACCCCCTCCCCAACCAAGTCCACAAGATCCACGTACCTTTAATGCTGTTAAGAATTTCCTTCAGTTGTCTGAAACTGTTCAGCAGTGGGTCCTGTTCTTCATCCTGGACAGACAAAATTAAAAAATTAAAAAAAGAAGAATGGGAGACAGGAAACGAATAAAGATTAGCATTACATGATAAAACAAAAAACTCAAAATAAAAACCAAGAACATTTCATTGCCTCATATCAGCAGCAGTAAAAGTGCATGTGGTGCTTGACTTACCAGAGGGGTATGAGTGTTCCATCTGGAATTCCTCTTGATGGCTCCAACAACGATGCTGATTTCTTCCTGGATGATGTAAATACTTTTGTCGACCATGCTGCTTCTCTAAGAGAAAAACAGGAGAGTCACAGTAAATTATATGGTTTCAATACAACTGCCCTCTGAAGTAAAAAAGATGAACATGGCACAGGTCAGTAACTAAAACAGGCTTGAGTAATAACTACAGCATCCACTAGGTCCTGTCGCGTTCTCTCTCTCTTCAGGTATTTTAACTATTTAAAAATTGTAAAATTTAAGCACTTTTTACAACCTACAAATTCACTACATTTCATTGTTCAACTATTTGTGAGAAACTGCATAAAAAACAGTTGAAAACATATATATAAAGATATAGAAAATGTAATCTTTAAGCATTAAGTCAGACTGAAGACTTGTGCCATCTACTGAATATAAAATCACAGCAGCACATTTCCATCTGTGTCTAAAACCAACAGTGATAACCAAACAGAATGACAATGACCTGCTGTTCATATTTGACAAGGACTATAACTACAAATGGTTAGATTAACCTTTTTAACCATGTCACAAAATACACACCAAATAAACTGAGGTGTTAAATAAAGAATTAGTTCAACACACTCAAATTCGTAAATTCAATACGAAAAGTGTGGGTTTTTTTTTTAAAGGACGGTTGAGTGTAAGCCCTGGTCAGAACACACAGAGTTATCACTTGTGGACGAACAGAGTCGATTTAACAATCCACCAATAGCAATCCTAGCCAGCCACTTTCACAAGTGATTTCACTTTATAGTATAGCTCCAGCTTTTTTACTGACACATTACATTTATGGTGAAATTAGGATTGTCAGGACAATATTTGAACACATTTTGTATTATACTTTGAGTATAAATCCCAGGCCTTACTACCATATTCTAAAGCAGAGACAGTTCCTTTCAATTGTGTGTCTTTATACTAAGTCTATAATGCAAAGGTTTCAAAGGTATTGTGACAGAGAGGTTTCAGAGTCTGATTTATTGGTTGATCTGTGTAAAAACAAATAAATGAGATGTGTGACAGCCCTTGTGTCATTGTTATGTAGGCAAAGCCATAACTACTACCCAGTTGTGTCATTGGCTGCAACTGCATTAAAGGTGTATGTTAATGATTTGAATCCTGAATATGAAGTGCACAGCTTTTTAATGGTTGACATCGTTTGAAATGATGTATAGTTACAAGGCCCTTTATAATTTAGCTACCCAAGGGGTTTCCAAATGAGCTAAAAAGGTGCTAGCCGGCAAAAGACACAGGGAGAGAGTCCATACAGGCAGAATGCTAACAAACTAGCTTGCTCCTGCTGCGTTATCGGTAAAAAGAATGACAATAACGCAGCAAGAGAGGGCATTTGGGTTCGAGACCAACAATATACAATGAGTCTACGCAACAGTGACTTTCACACAAAAATGACAGCTCACAAGCTTAGCTATGTCTAGCTTAGCTGCGCTAAGTAGCAAATCATCAGCTAAAGCTAACAACATACGAACGTAATATTGTATATTTCTTTAGGGAAATTAGAGCAACAAACACAAGCATATACGTTTTAAGTTCCATTGAGGATAAGTACAACCATAACCTGTGTGGGTTAGTGTGTGTGTGTGTGTGTGAGTGTCAGAGCTGCTGCTGCGCCGAGGCTATCTGCAGCCTAGCTCCTCTGTTAGCTATGGGCTATATCGGCCGACAGTGAATGAAAATGACCAAAATCACTTCACTGTGACAAAGACAAGTGGTAAAAGCTTTCCACATATCACTGCTCGATTGCGTGGACATTTTAGAATCGCCTAGAAACACTCACGGTGCAGAAAAAGCGTCCCGAACATGAATAAAAACGAGCGTCTTCAGCCTCTGTCAGTCTGCTGCTGGTAAACACACACACTGACGTGGAAATCTTTGCGCTCTCAACCGAACTTGGTGCTGCCGAGTTGATTGACACCACAAAACACCCAGTCACGTCTAACAAAACACAATGTTTTACAATAAAATATAATAAATATATAGTATCAAATAAATAAATAAAGTTCAATATAAAGTTGTGATGTTATAAGTTGCATTTTTTAAAATCGTAATAAAAGCAGAAAGTGGGACAGCGTGTCTAAAGGGGCGGGTATACGGTAGGTAGGAAATAAGGCTAGGTTGTTTTTGGGTGGATGACGAGACACTTGTCTGCTTCTCAATTGGAGGAAACAGTCACATAAAACTCAACCTGACCTGCGTTAAAACCTCTGAGTCATTTTGGTTTATTCAGTGTCATGAATTCGTGTGTTTGTATTTTTCTTCTCGTATCTGCTGCCTGAGATAAAACTAATTTTAAACCTATGTTACCTCGGTCCACTACCACTTTCTCTTTCATACACAAAGACTCTAAGTCCTTTGTTTACAGTATATCTTAACCAGAAAATGAGCGTGTTTACGCCTTGTCACAAGAGGCTGTTTCAAGATCACTTAACGAGAGGTTGTTTTGTCTAAGTCTCCTCAATAGTTAAGCTATTCTTATCTCCGATTTATCCCAGAATAATTTTTAGCCCATATTCTTATTTTATATTGTATAGAAAGGCTTTGATGAAGTGCAGGACCAAATTAGAAATAGATTATTAGATGTGACAGTGGACCTGGCCAAGGACAGGGACTGTTTCTCAATACTTGATGTAGCTAAGACTCGTCCATGCCACTGTACATGCACTAAAATACACACACAACTACCTTTTGGCTGTGCAAACAAAATTACGTAACAGGTCATGTATGTGTGTGTGTTGAATGTACACAGGGTGGAGGTCCACCGAGCTACAATCTTACAAGCTGTAATCTGTGCATGCAATCACAGGCTACCATTTGCTCAACACCTCGGCTCATTGTTTAGCATCTTGTTTAAAGTGCTCAGTTGTTTGATCACCTGTGGCAACTGTGTAGCATCACTATTTCATTCACCTTTTATCACTCAATCCTGTGAGAGACGGCCATTTGAGCTAATCTCAGGTGACGTCGGGTGGAGGCCGGACTGACATCCTAAAATGATTGGTCTGCCATGATGGGAAAATGGTTTCTAGTACTAAATGTTTTTTTGTGTGTGTGTTGTTGTTTGTTTGTTCAATTCTAGCTTTCTTTAGCTGAATTGTTAGCAGCGTATGTTAGCCTCATTCTTTCTCTACTGACATTACAGTCAATGTCACTTATTTATCTTATTTCACTGTTTGATGATGAAGTTTTTGTGAAAAAAAAGTGTGAAGTGCAGAGCTGCAGGTTTATCAAAGAGAGATACAGTTCACTCTTCAGGTGTGGCAGAAAAACAAACACACCTGAGTCTTATACATACAGTACTTGCTGCTGCTCCTCCTGCTGCTGCTGCTGCTGCTGCTGCTGGCCTAGCCTGCACTTAGCTACAGCCACCTCAACAGCGAAGGTCTTGTGATAGTCAGATTGACAGCTCTTATATTCATGTCCTCCAAAATAACAAAAATAAACTTCTCGTAAGTTTACAAGACCAAATCCTATGAATGCTGATACAAATCCCAAGTCTTTTTCATGTGGGACATGCTATTTAGAAATGTATATCTATTAAATGATCTACAATTGTTAGTATTATATTTGAAAACGTTGGCAAGATGGGATTGGTTAGTGTTACCAGGAACAGATGAAAATTCAACAGAGAAATCATTCTCAAAATATATAATAAACGGTTATTTTAATTATATATTATAGTAATGTTTGATAAGAAAAGGTCAAGGGTGATTACTGCATGTGTCAGTAATAAATCCACCTAAAATGCTGTAATGTTCTCTTGTTCTCATGTGGATTAAAGCTGAGGCCTGAGGCCCCGGTGAGGTGTGGACCTACCAGGTGGGCTTTTATTTTTCCCATAATGCACACGTCAGGAGCAATTTGACATCTGTTTTTGTCAACAGGCAGTTCAGTATCCTCGCGACTCACTGTCAAACACAGAGACACAGAATAAGTTCACATATAGAGTGTAATTCTCTGGGTTTGGCTTTAACTGTGAAGACGACCTGGTGTACTGCATATGGTACTAGTATATGGTACTGGGAACGACTGTGTTTACAAGGAACTCAAGTTATTATTTTTGCCTTTGTTTTCACTGCAGTGAGTGACAGATAAAAACTACTGTCAACGGTTTTAAAACGATGACTGAAGTTAAATATAGTGTGTTTTCTGACCAATCAGGTGAGTCCTGTACTGCCTGTACTCCTTGATAGAACCCTTGGTCAGCGACAAAGTCAGCTTTATTGTCAAATATGTCGTAGTCATTGATGACCTCTTCTCAAAATAACAAGAATATATTAAAGTAAAGCAGATATTTATGAGAGCTAGAAATATAAAAGTAACTATATATGTATAAAGGAAACTCACATGTAGAAGGACGTGTGCTGTGACATCACTCAGTACTTACAGACAGAATGAATCACGACTTCAGTGAATCAAAGCAAAACAACATCAAATGTACTATTTACATTCAACTTCCTGAAGGGAAAAGCACATATTACTACATATTACTACATATTACTACATATTACTACTGTTTCCAGCACTAATTCCTGCTAACTAAAACTATATATTTACTTTTACTTTTATTAAATTAAGATTATTATCTCTGGACCAGGTTTTAATTTAAGGTCCTCAAGAGAAGAGAAAAACCAACACATGTACACACCCGNGGTGCAGATCTTCTTCACTCTGTCACAGTGTTCATGTCTGACACCGAACCACAAAGAAGAAGAAGAAGAAGAAGAACGAAGTCTAAAGAGGAATCTGATTTTCTGACTCTGCTTCTGTCGGGACTTTTTTTTTTTTTTTTGTCCATGTCTGTGTCAGAACAGACCTCAGGTCAGTCTTCAGTCTGCAGCAGCTGCTCTCCCTGCTCTCACTTTCCACGGATTATTTGAACAGAGTGGGCTCCACCATCACTGTAAGTCTGAATATCTCCGTCACTTCTGTCTCCGTTTGTCCTTAAACCCGTCGTTTACTTTAGGTTTTGATGACGTTTCACCACAACTTTGAACTTTTGAAAGTGTAAGATTTTCGCCAAAAAAACAAAGAGTTTGATAGAAATGGTAAAATAAGAAGAAAAAAGACAGGGGAAGAAGTTTGATGATGATGATGATGACGATGATGATGATGATGATGAAGGTGAGATTAAAAGACGCAGCTGTGAGGCAGAAGTAAAGGCGCCGTCAGTTTCATCACGACGGGTTTAAAATGTTTAAATACGCGTTTCTTCAATTTGAACAAAGCTCAAAAAAATAAAGGGTTAAATTTACAAATCACACCGAGGCCTGAAGGAGAGTTCACGGCTCCTCGTCCCGCCGTCTCCAAATATTTAATTCACATTCACACACGGACAATGAATAAATAAATAAACAAATAAACACAACCTTCAGACTGTGTGGGGGAAAAAGAAGAAGAAAATCTGACGCTTCCGAAATATTTAGTGGGATTTGAAGGAAACTGATGGGCGGCAGGTGGTCTACAGATGCACACACACACGCGCGCGCACACAAACACCAATACGAGCTTTTTACATTTTCATGTTTTTCTTATGAATGTTAACTCCAACAGCAGCGGCATCAACAACACAATAATAACAATAATACAAATATTTCTTCGTAGGTTTTTAAACATTTTAAACCCGTTAATTTGTGTTCATACTTAATTATTTAGATATATCTTAATTAAATAAATAAAAATGAATAAACACAATTAATATTAATACTGTATATCGCCAAAGGTTTACTTTTACATTTTTTAAGAAAAGGCCTGTTTTTAAAAAAACATATTGGTCTTCTCTAATAAGTAAAAAAAATCTAAACCGAAAATATGCCTACCAAGATTTTTTTATAAAATGATGTGAATTGTTTGTTTTTTTTAATTGTGTAGTTTAATAACAAAACAAACTTTAAATGTAACGGCCCGGCGAACGGACCGCGCGTCCGTAGCGAAAACCAAAAATACGATTTTCTAATGGTTCAAAAACACAACCTTACATTAGCTATAGTGAATCTCTTTATTTATTTACATCAGCTGAAGGATTGGATGATGTGAAACATTAAAATGATCAAATGTGAAATAAAGAAAATAATAAAACTGCAGTAAAATAAAAATCGTCAGTTTTTTTTTATTATTTTAATTCTTCTAACTTTTCTCGTTTTCACGTCGTTCCTGCCGGAATTCTTTCACTGCAACAGCTTCAAAATGTGTATTATCTATAAATATAAATATCTTTTCAAATTAATGTCGAGTCAACGAAGCGCCTCAGTGAATTTAGATTTTAAAAAACGGCGTCACCTCTGTGTTTGTGAATGTATTCATTTAAAACGTCTTATTTATAACAATGAAGACACCGTTTCATTCAACAACAATGATCATACAATAAAATAATAAAACAACTGGAAAATATTTTAAAATGACTTCATTTCGCTGTCAAAACAACAACGTTTGAGTTTAAAAACACTCGTGGTATTTCTATAATTTCATATCAAATAAATTGTGTTACGCGAATTAATTTATATTACTGTTATAACGCAAGAAAAATCGTTCAATCTTATTTTACACAAATACAATATGTTAAAAAGGGAACTGTTTCTAACATTTACAAATGGAAAAAAACATTTGTTTGAAATTGTAAAAAAATACAAAATATACGGCAAAAAGGTGACAACATAACATTAACGCCTAAGAAAATAAAAAATAATTTTAATTATATTCAAAACAAAATAAAACAGCTGAAAATGCAAACAATATGTGTAAATGTTGTCACTTATTTCATTTGGGCTGTTTTTATTATCACGATATTTTACAGATTCTATTCTATTCTATTCTGAGACAAGAGAAGAAAAGAGAGGAGTTTGTTTCGTGTTTGTTTCTGTCAAATTCATTTTTCATGAAGCAGATTCATCAATAGTTGATGATGTGAGGCCGTGGTTTAATCACTGCTGCACCATTCTTCTTCTACTGTTGTCTTTTTTTCATTTTCTTAAAACATACGTCTGTCATAAAAAACTACTTGGTACCAGTTGAATCAAACGAACATTTATCTCTGGTTTAAAATGATATTATATCCTGTTTTATTTGACGGTGAGTCTGGAGCTTCAGGCTGACATCACACAACGTTATTGTTTTTCATCTTGTTCTTTGTTGTTGTATTAATAATTATTATGTGAGCAAATAAAAATAAATCAATACATGGCTGTATTAGTGGGATCTAAGGTGACTGGCCTTGACATCATCATCAGCAGCAGCAGCAGCAGCAGTTGAAGCTCAGTCTTATGTAAATGTGTGTGTGTTAAAGCAGGTCAGAAATTAACATGTTCAAACACTGCAGTCAAATTCCATCTGGAGCCTCAGCAGCAGCAGCAGCAGAAGCAGCAGCAGCAGCAACCGCAGGAACAGCAGCAGCAACAGTAACAGCAGCAGCAACCGCAGGAACAGCAGCAGCAACAGTAACAGCAGCAGCAGCAACAACAGCAACAGCAACAACAGCAGCAACAGCAACAGCAGCAGCAGTAAAAGCAGCATCAGCAGTAACAGCAACAGCAGTAACAGCAACAGCAACAAGAACAGGAACAGCAACAGCAGCAGTAACAGCAGCAACAGCAGAAACAACAGCAGCAACAGCAGTAACAGCAGCATCAGCAGTAAAAGCAGCATCAGCAGTAACAGCAGCCAGCGCAAGAAACAGCGGCAGTAACAACAGCAGTAACAGCAACAGCAACAACAGCAACAGCAACAGCAACAGCAGCAACAACAGTAGCAACAGCAGCAACAGCAACAGCAAAACAAACAGACGAAAAAACAACAGCAACAGCAACAAGAACAGGAACAGCAACAGCAGCAGCAGTAACCGCAGCAGTAATAACAACCACAGCAGAAACAGCAGCACCGGCACCAGCAGCAGTAACAGCAATAACAGCAGCAGTAACAGCCAATTCAACTTGACCAAGGTTTTGCAGCACTAGTAGCAGGGCTCTAGAGCTTCAGCATCATTAGTTTTAGCAGCAGCAGCAGCAGGAACAGCAGCAAGAAAAAACAAATTCAACTGGACCAAGTGTGTGCAGCACTAGTAGCATGGCTCTAGAGCTTCAGCAGCATTAGTTTTAGCAGCAGCAGCAGCAGCAACAGGAACAGCAGCAGTTCCAGCAGCAGTTACAGCAGCAGTAACAACAGCAGTAACAGCAACAGCAGTAACAGCAACAGCAACAGCAACAACAGCAGCAACAACAACAGCAGCAACAACAACAGCAACAGCAACAACAGCAACAGCAACAAGAACAGGAACAGCAACAGCAGCAGCAACAACAGCAACAGCAACAACAGCAGCAACAGCAGTAACAGCAGCAGTAACAGCAAATTCAACTTGACCAAGTTTTTGCAGCACTAGTAGCATGGCTCTAGAGCTTCAGCAGCATTAGTTTTAGCAGCAGCAGCAGCATCATCAGCAGTAGCATATTTGTGTTAGCAATAAAAGCAGTTCTTGTACAATTTAAGTTCACAAGGAAAATTAAATGAACATCAGCAGCATTAGTAGCATCAGCAGCATTAGTAGCATCAGCAGCCCATAATAAATTCCAAGCAGCAGTAAAGTGACATCCATCTTAATCAAGTCTTAATCCTGGGAATTAATTCTCTGAGTGTTTATGAATAATTCCCAGGATAATGACTGCAGTGAGTATATGTTCTGTTCACATGTAGAGAGACAGACAGTCAGATAGACAGACAGTCAGTCCGACAGACAGACAGTCAGGCAGACAGACAGACAGGCAGACAGACAGACAGGCAGACAGACAGTCAGTCAGCCAGACAGACAGCCAGAAAGACAGACAGACAGAAAGACAGTCAGACAGACCGACAGACAGACAGTCAAACAGTCAAACAGACAGACAGACAATCAGACAGACTGTCAGTGAGACAGTCAGTCAGACACTCAGTCAGACAGACAGTAAGACAGACAGTCAGGCAGTCAGATATACAGTCAGACAGACAGTAAGACAGACAGTCAGGCAGACAGACAGACAGACCGACAGACAGACAGTCAGTCAGTCAGTCAGACAGACAGCCAGACAGTCAGATAGACAGTCAGACAGTCAGCCAGACAGACAGACGGACAGTCAGAAGGACAGTCAGACAGTCAGATAGACAGACAGTCAGTGAGACAGTCAGTCAGACAGTCAGTCAGTCAGACAGACAGTTAGATAGACAGTCAGACAGTCAGTCCGACAGACAGACAGACCGACAGACAGACAGTCAGTGAGACAGTCAGTGAGACAGTCAGTGAGACAGTCAGTGAGACAGTCAGTCAGACAGTCAGCCAGACAGACAGACGGTCAGACAGTCAGACGGTCAGACAGACAGTCAAACAGTCAAACAGACAGTCAGACAGATAGACAGACAGTCAGTCAGCCAGACAGACAGTCAGTCCGACAGACAGACAGACCGACAGACAGACAGACAATCAGACAGACTGTCAGTGAGACAGTCAGTCAGAAGACAGACAGATTGACCCAAACACTAACGTTCAGTTGGACTCTTAACCAGAACAACATGGTGTTTCCACAGCAACCATCATGGGTTTGATTCCCCAAGAAACCACATATCCCTAACAGTGCCCCCTGTGGCAGCCTGAGACTGTACAGGCCCCATTGTGTGAAGAAAAAAATGAGTCAAATATTATTGTCCATTATGAAGCATACAGTCTGAGATCTGGACTGGACTGGATCGGAGATCTGGACTGGCCTGGACTGGACTGGATCTGAGATCTGGACTGGATTGGACTGGACTGGATCTGAGATCTGGACTGGATTGGACTGGACTGGATCTGAGATCTGGACTGGATTGGACTGGACTGGATCTGAGATCTGGACTGGACTGGACTGGATCTGAGATCTGAGATCTGGACTGGACTGGACTGGACTGGATCGGAGATCTGGACTGGCCTGGACTGGACTGGATCTGAGATCTGGACTGGATTGGACTGGACTGGATCTGAGATCTGGACTGGACTGGACTGGACTGGATCGGAGATCTGGACTGGCCTGGACTGGACTGGATCTGAGATCTGGACTGGACTGGACTGGACTGGATCTGAGATCTGGACTGGATTGGACTGGACTGGATCTGAGATCTGGACTGGATTGGACTGGACTGGATCTGAGATCTGGACTGGACTGGAATGGATCTGAGATCTGGACTGGATCTGGACTGAATCCTGTGGAGGAAACACTCTGGGAACTGAAACACAGCTGCAGAGGATGATGATGATGATGATGATTCCAGATGGAGATGAAGAGTTGAAGAAATTGAAGGAAGGAATTCTGTGATGAGAGTGTGGCGAATTATTTAGAAGATTTTTGTTTCCTCTGATTCTGACAGGTTTACGGCAGGTTCTCAGGTCTAATGACGAATCACAGCCTAGGACTACGTTTGACTGACACTGACCACACACACACACACACACACACATCTGTTGTTGCTTCAAGTGCATTTGTCCAGGGACACATTGACATGCAAATTCATAGAACCTGCAGTCAAACTCCTGAGTTCAGTTGGAGAATCGACTGTAACTCTGTCTCTACCTCCGCTGATCGGTACTGTTGTTGTTGTTGTTGTTGTTGTTGTTGCAGCTCAACAGTCAACACAGACAGGGTGTCAGAACTTTCCGACTGAGCCTCGTGTGTTGGTGTCATTTCACCTCCAGTGATGGTGAAGTGTTGCTGATGTCATCGTTGGTTTTCATCACATGAGACACGTTTCTGCTCCTCACCGTTTAAAGACGCGGTGGAGACAGAGAGTGTGTCCACTGACTGAGGGTTTGTCCACTGACAAGAGGACGGTCCAGTCTGACCTGGTCCACTCTGTCCTTCAGTGACAGGTCTGTCTGTCCATCCATCACTGTCACTGCAGCTCCCCGTCCTCGTGCTGCGTCCTGGCTCACAGTCGTATTTCTGACCAAAACTACTGGCCCTTCCAGATCCCCACACTGACACCAAAGCTGCTGCTGCTGCTGCTGCAGCTGCTGCTGCTGCTCCACTGTCTGTCTAACCAGGTAGTAACATCTGAGTTGATGTTTTTGGATTTTGACATTTCATTTCATAAAACCTTGAATGAACAACTTCAGACTGAAACAATGTTGACAGACGTTATTCCCAGATTAAAGATCAACAAAGAAGTTTTTTTTTCAAAATGACAGCTTTTTTTTAAGAGCCCTATTTTTTATAATTGTTTGTAAATCAAGAATAATTTGACTTTAATTTTTTTTAATTTTACTGTAGATATTGTAAAAGTAATTTTGTACCTTTGGTCAATAATTTTTTGTTTGTAATTTAATCGTCCCAGTCAAATTTAGAGCAGTTTATAATGGTTTAGAATATGATGTGTGTTATTTAACATGATGAGCTAACTATGATTATAATTATTATTATTATTATATATCAATATTATATCTTTTTATTATTATATATTTTTTCTAAAGAGTCATCAAAGGTCAGAAGTTTGTGACCGTGTTTCCCTCCATCCTGGTTGTGGTTAGTTTAGTTATACTAGTAAATACAGTTAATACTACCCTATTAAAATATAAAAGTGTTTGTTTTTAGTTACTTCTTCTCCTTCTTTCTTGCTGCTGCTGGTGTTTTTGGTCACAGACAGTTGGGTGGTGTCTCTCCCTCCCTCTCTCCTCCGTTCTCCCATCATCCCTGCTGCCTCACAGGCAGCAGTCACATGACTGGAACACAAAAGAAAATGGCACCATGGGTAAAAAAGCACATTCAATGGAAAAGAACCATTTTTTACTCTTTAATTAACTTATCCAAAAACTAAATGTGTTTTTTAATTGATTTGATGCTTTGAAACCCATAATTAAGTTTGAGCTCAGTGACACAAACTGTCCACAAGAGGCAGTAGAAGACCAGTAGCTCCTGTGACTGTGCGAGCGACTGTATCTACGATGACTCAGAAAACTCCATGACCATGAGGTCTAAAGGCTGTACTGACTGAACAGTACAGTAAATAAAAACCAAAATCCTCAGTGACACAAAAGTACTGAGCATAAAAAGGTCACATCTAGTGTCTGCATGTGTTTTGTGTTGTTGTAGCAGCAGCAGCTCTTGGTTTTGGAAATGTTATTGTATTTTCTTATTTTAAACAGCGCAGCCGCGCAGCCACAGATAGAACTGCGATTCAGATCTGGTTTTAGCTGCTGATGTCAGGATCCTATATCAGGACCAGGACTTCATCCAGGGCTGAATGGAAAGATGAAGGGAAAATAGAAACACAACAGACAGAAGTGACAGATTCACCCAGAGGACGTGGAGAGGGCAGTCAAGTCTGTAGTGATGATGCTGATGAGGAGGTGAAAGGAGGAGAAGGCTTTGATCTCCTCCTGCTCAGAAACCCCATTTACACCATGATAAAAAACGTTTTGTCTAAAGTTACATTTTTATTAATACGTACATTTTATAATTAGATTTATTTTCATATAGATATTTATAGCCTAGGGTGATATCCAGAATGTTATTTAGAAAATGTACTTTATCCATGAACCGATGTCTGTCGACCAATCATGTTTAATATTTTCTATGTAGGTGAAGAAATAAGGTTAGAATTGTGTTGAAATAAAATAATAATAATTTTAAAAAGTCTATTTCTATGAGGTGATGATCTGTCGGACCCTGTGTCTCCTTCAGCAGAGCCTGGTCATGGACTTTAACCTGCTGACAGACAGTGAGGCTCGCAGCCCAGCTCTGTCCCTGTCAGACTCTGGGACGCCACAGCACGACCCGGGATGTAAAGGCCAGGACAACAGTGGTGAGTGACATCATCAACACCGCACCCACGTACTTTACATACGCCCCGTCACAGCGCTTCTATCTTGGACTCACCTGTAATCAACAAACCTTCCTAGAAATTAAATGTACAAATCTGACAAAATCAACTTTTGAAAAAAGACCTAGAAATCTAATAAAAACTGATCATATCGTACTGATGTCAGTAGAACATTCATTTTTATGAACCACAACAAAACAATAAGAAACTCATACACAAACTTATAGAACTGTTTCTAATCACCATCTGTAACTCTATAACAATTAACAACAGCAACAATGACATAACTAGATATTTATTTATTGTTCTAAGTGAATTATTTGTCATTGTAACACAGCACACAACAAAATGTGACCTCTGCTTTTTACCCCAGCAGGGGGCAGCTCAGTGCTCTGATCATCAGAGGCTTCTTCACTTCACACTGTGAAAGTGTCCAGGGAAATGAACTCACTGATAAACTTCTAGAATTTCCAGATTAAAATTCTATATATATATATTTTGCTGCTGCTGCTGAAAGATGACTTCAGTCTCTCTTAAAGGGACAGTTCAGCACTTTTGTTATTAGGATGAATGATTCTGAACCCAGGAAAGTTTACTGGAGATTTGACTCTGGATTAAAACCAGAAGTGGTTTCTCCAGTTAGTCTGGAGGTGATTTGGTTGATTTGACTCTTTTCATTCTGGACTCTCCAGATGTTGAGGAGGTGATTTTCACTGAGAGCCCGTGGTTCAAACTGACCTGGAACACTTGGCTCATGTTGGTTCATTATTAGTCCGATTGCTCCTATTGTGGTGGACGGTCCCGCTGTAAAAAGAGCTGCCCTTTCCTCTGTATTGTCTGATAGACTTAAGTGACAGCTTAGCCAGTGTCAGTTTACACACACACACACACACACACACACAACTGCCATCGGCTCCTAGACCTTATTGGTTTTTGCCAGTGGCCCCGCGGAGCCTCTTTTTAAAATCCTGCTGATGATTTTGAACTGCTCCCACAGAACTAAGCCTTCACCAAACAGAGCCCGACCTGCCCCAGTCACAAAGACCTGATCCACGGGATTAACTGGCAAACTAATTTCACTGCTCTCTGTGAGGTCTGAAAAAAGCTGTGGGAGTCAGACCACGAAGCAGAGGGAGAGAGACAGAGAGAGAGAGTGGTCGTTCTCTAACGGTGGTTCAGGACCCACCAGAACAGAAAAGTCTGTTTCAAATATCAAACCTTTTTCTCAATATTCACGTGACAGCAGTTCCTGTTGTCTAACATTAGTCAAAGTGCAGGTTAAATTGTGACCAAAATGATTAAAAATAATTAAATGGTGAATTCAAATAAAGTAAAAGTCAAGCAACAAGTTTGAGGGGCAAAATAATCCAAACTGTAACAAACATACAGCAAAATAGCAAAAACATAATTAAAATAAACTTAAAATTGTTTAAATTAAACTAGGCAGAAATGTGCAAAAGTAGTGATGAGGATCAAATATGTCTGATAATGAAATGAATGAAAACAGCAACAATAAACAAACCCTAACCTTTAAATTTGAATGATTATGAGAAAGAACAGAGAGCTGGAAGTTAACGTGTGGTGTTTTGGAGGCAGCTGTACTGCCCCAGGGCAAACACATTCATCTGCCACTCATGAGTGTAACTCTTTGTTTATACTCATCTTCTCCAGGCAACATCTCACTTCCTTTCATTTCCCTGCATGCAGTGGGAGAGATGTTTGATCACGAAGATCTGCTCACACTTGAACAGTAACAAGAAGAGTCGACAGTCTTGATGCCTGCAAAAAAATAAAAATAAAAAAAAAACGGCCAATGAGAAGTTTGACGGCCTTTTCAGGTGTACAGATCAAGGAGTGCGACATTCACGGGGTGCCACACCACACCCTGCTGGTCAGAGATGATCCTGCAGCTGCAGGGATCTTATAATTTTGTCTGACTTTGTCGTTTATTAATATGTCCTGCCGAGAGCAGGTTTCTACAAACAGAATAAGTTTTTACTAGAGTCCATTTAGAAAAACATATCTGAAAATAGGAGTAAAAGTTCATACTTACAGTACAGCTACTGACACAACGACATTATTCTGTGAATAACCATTTGTTAGCTCCTAGCTTGATAGCCACTGTGCTGTGAATCATTTTTGTTTGAATTAAGAAAATACACATTTCGCTGGTGTTCTAATCACGGCAGCAGGATTTATTTATATTTTTCTTCCTGTTTCATCTACAATATTTCAACATCTAAAATCTCCGCACTTTATCTGTGGAATAGCGCTTCCCTGAATTTGGCAATAACCCAAAATATACATTTGTGTAAAATATAAAATTACATACTGAATAAAACACATTCATTAATAATCAGCATATATTTGGTACATCGAATTTCTTCACAACTATACAGAGCCGCTTAGCAGTAGCCACTTAGCATATACGTCACACTCTCACGTAACATCAACCGTCTCTCGATAACCGGTTACTTTAGCGGAGCTCGTATGTGCACAGCTAATTACTTTGTCATACATTCAGCTCATAATATGTAGTGTGTTGAGCTGACTGAGTGTATATTTACTGACCTGTGGTAAGAATATAGCACATACGTGTTACCACGGCAGCCGGATTTATTTTTTCCGTGTTCGCGTAAGTCTCATTCTACCTCAAATGCAATGCGCCACTTAGCGGCCTGGCATGTCATCGCAATGTGATGTGAGTACAAGCGAATGATTAAATCAATGAAAATAAATGAAAAATATTTTTTATATCTAGTATATATATATAGTATTGTTCAAGTTAGTTTGTGCTGCCCCTTGTGGTCAGTTTGTGTTATCTCAGTTAATCTGAAGAAAATAATTCAAATGCCAAATTGACAAAAGACACTTTTTATCTATCTGAAGAATCTAAACTGTTTCTTTTTTTTTTTTCCTTTTCACGCAGACACAGAGAAATCCCAGCACAACCAGCTGGATGAGTCCAGCGCTGAGGACAGCTCTCTGAAGAAGAAGCAGCGGCGGCAGAGGACTCACTTCACCAGCCAGCAGCTGCAAGAGCTGGAGGCCACGTTCCAGAGGAACAGATACCCTGATATGAGCACCAGAGAGGAGATCGCAGTGTGGACCAACTTGACCGAGGCCAGAGTCAGGGTGGGTGTTCACACACACACACACACACACACACACACTGTGGTAGAGGACAATACATTCGCTGCCTGCCCCACGTGTCAAAGATCCAGTGAGTGGTGACAGGATGGAAGGTCACATAACACACAGTCCTAGCTGTTATTTTGAACCAACATCGGACTAATCATGGTCACATGGTCACATGGTCCTGTTTCTACTCATGGTTCTGACAATACTGCATGAAGGTACATTTAGACAAGTACAAACAATACTTTACTGTCCAGCTTTTATAAAAGTATTATTAAAGTAGTCGAGTAAAACATTTAAGCCACGTGGTTTCTTTTTAAAGTCATTACAGTATATTTGATGCTGTTGTAAAATTGCTGAATTTTTTGATGGACTTTGGTGGAGAAAGTCTACTGAGTGACTGAACTGCACTGAACTGAACTGAACTGAACTGAACTGAACTGAACTGGCCCAGGGCTTAGTAAAAATGTGTGATTTTAGTTTTGACACATTTCAGCTTCACATACAGTCAGTTTGTGTCGGGCTGGTGAAGGAATAACTTTTTTAACATTTTGAACCTACTAACAGAGACCACTGCTGACCGCGACTCTGTGTGCTGTGACGTAAAATCAGTTCATTTTTCTCCATGAACTCTGGTGCCACAGTCAGCGTTGGCACAGACACAGACTGAAAGATGAGTTAGAGGCTGTCCTTCAGCACCGGGGTTTCCCCAGATACGACAGTGGAAAAGTCACCAGTCCTGCTCTTTACACTGACATTAATCAGGAGAAGGATTCTGCTGCACAACAGCCCAGGACTGGCCGATGATGATGATGATGATAAACTGTATATATTCACTGTATATACTGTATATAATAAATAATAATAATATTTGATAACATATCTTTGATAAATAGTTCTGATTTATGCACGTTTATATAAAACAATTACAATTCATTTCTCCAAATGTGTGCTTTATTAAGAAATCATTCATGAAGGTTATTATTATTATTATTATTATTAATTTTGCAAGCATTGACAGTGGCATTAATTAACAAATTCATGTTAAATCATTTGAAAAGCTAAGAACTAAATATTAAGTATAAAAAAATTCATCAATTCACACACGTAGAAACTATGTAAATTAATAAATTTATAATAATTTTAGTTTCAACTAGAAGTCAAACTTTGTGTTATTAGTTTATCCTAATATAACTTTTCTTTTCTGAAGCAACATTTTCTCCAGTTTCCACTTCTATTAAAATTCTTATTTTAAAAATTTCCATTAAAACCTTAATCCTTTTCATATCCTTCATATCAAAGACCATCAGGAGACAAACGAGCAGATTCTCTGCTCTGACATTTCTCTGTTTCAATAAGACAATAATTAGTTTAATATGAACAGTTTTAATATGACTTCTACTTATCACACACACGGATTGAAAACTCCTGCATGTCCTAAAATTAAACTTAAATATTAACTCTTATTTCTTAAAGAACACGTAATTTAAAGGAAAAAAGTTTGGTTCATTTCCCCGTCTTTGTCTAGAAATATGATTAGTTGAACTTCATGGTTTTAAATATTTGTTAAGCAATAACTATGTTTATAACTGACATGGTGTGATTATTAGTGCAGTCATATCAAAGTCAATACAAAGTTGCCACATGATATTTCTGCACTATATTAAAAACAAAGTAATGAAACAGTGAAATATTGACATCAGTTTCCTGATTAAAATCCAATTAAACCATAAGAACTTGACGAGATGGGAGTGAAACCCACTCACTGTTCATTTTGAATGTGCTATTTATATATTTTAATAGTTAACTTCTACACTGAGTCACATTTGTACAAATTGTTTTTTAACTAAAGCCTTAGCTTAGCTTAGCTTATTAAAAAAAAAACTTTTTACTTTTCATTTAGTCACAACTGAAACTTCCTGTTTAAAATAGACCGCAAGAAAAGAACCTGGATTGAATTAAACTGTTATGTTGACGGAAAATCAGTGATGATTCTTAGTCAAAAGAGTTCTAGAATCTTCTGAGAGAAGTGCCTTTGAGCCATAGTCAATACAAAATTGTATTGCCTCACCTCTGCGTTTTCTTCTTCCGACTTCTCCAGGTTTGGTTCAAGAACCGTCGTGCCAAGTGGAGAAAGCGAGAGAGGAACCAGCAGGCGGAGTTGTGCAAGAACGGCTTCAGTTCTCAGTTTAATGGACTCATGCAGCCGTACGACGACATGTACACGGGCTACTCCTACAACAACTGGGCCACCAAGAGCCTGGCCAACAGCCCGCTCTCTGCCAAAAGCTTCCCCTTCTTCAACTCCATGAACGTGAGCCCGTTGTCATCACAGCCCATGTTCTCCCCCCCCACTTCCATCCCTTCCATGAACATGGCCCCCAGCATGGTACCCTCAGCTGTAACAGGGGTCCCTGGAACTGGCCTCAACAACCTGGGCAACCTCAACAACCTCAACAGCCCCACTGCAGCAGCAGCGCTCAACTCTGTGGCGGTGACGGCGGCCACCTGCCCGTACGCCACCACGGCCGGGCCCTACATGTACAGAGACACCTGCAACTCCAGCCTGGCCAGCCTCCGGCTCAAGGCCAAGCAGCACACCAACTTTGCCTACCCGGCCGTGCAGAACCCCGTGTCCAACCTGAGCCCCTGCCAGTACGCTGTGGATCGGCCGGTGTAAAAAAGCCAATTCTGACCCCTACCCTTGTGTGACCCAGCCGACCCCCGAGCCACTACAAGGCCTCTGCACATCAGTGGTGATGCAAAAAAAAGCGGATTTATTCTAGAGCAGTTTCTAAGACATCTCATCTGTCAGTGATTCACTCATCTGTCAGTGATTCACTCATCTGTCAGTGATTCACTCATCTGTCCAATCAAATGTTCATTAGCGTCTAACGTCTAGCTTGATGTCTACAGTAAAACAGATTATGAAGAAATTTATCGGGTTTAGTTTGATCAAAAATGTGACTTGAAACAGTAACAGGTTTTTATTTAATACTGACCGGGTATTTTATCCGGTTTATCCGAGTTGCAAACCTGCTCTAAAACACGAGCTAAACAGGTAAAGCTAACTCTACTTTTTGGTCAAATGTTAGCTGTGAGAGAAAGCAACTCTTGCTAACTGCTTACAGGCCTCTAGCTAACAGGCTAAACTGAGCCAACCTAAAACAAAAATCCCAAAATACAGTTGACAACAATGTCAAACTGTACGACTAGATTTTGACACCAGTTAAAACGGAGCTGCTGCTCTAATCAGTTCCAACATTTTGTACTTTTGTTTATTGGAAAAGCTAAAGCTAAAGTAGAGAAATGTAAACTGTGACTGCCTTCACTCTAATGATTATCAACCTGTGGTTTGTTTAAATCTGATGTGCAGAGGCCTTGACTCTGGTGATGATCCAGCTTCACTCCACCCTTCAGCTCCATGTCTTTGTTAGCAGTAATGCTAACTGGCTAGTCAGGCTATTGGACTGCCACACATGTCTGAAGTGAGGACACTTTGACCACTACTGTCTATCACATGATCAACCTGCATGATTAGAGCAACAATAGAGAACTGAGGCTGAAAACACACAACACGGACGTTTGACCCCTAGTGGTCAAAATGGGGACCTGTGGTAACGATGTGGAGTAATGTATATAAACAGACTTTTTTTTCTGTTTTGTATGTGACAAAAAGTAATGAAAATGTAGAAATTTTGACCTGAGAAAAAGCATGATCTTCAAATCAATGTCACTATGATGAGGTCACATTCAGGAGGATTAAAGGGACAGTTCAGGTTTTGCTGTGGTTGTATGACATACGGCCACTCAGCTGGGAGCGCCCCCTGCACTGAGAACAGAATACTTTCAACATTTTATCTTTGTGCTTACCTTTCAACATGAAAAACTAGGACGTTTGTAAACCACTGTGGACCAATGTGAAACAATGTGGACCAATGTGGACCAATGTGGACCAATGTGGACCAAGGTCCAAAGACACAACAGTGACTTTAGGTCATAGAACCAGAAGAACTGCTAGTCCACTGCTGCCTCATGTGGTCAGTTTGTTTCACTAAAGGGAAATCCAAACTAACAATGGAGACAGCAGTGACGTCACTGGTCCGTTCGCTGGTCCGTTCGCTGGTCCGTTCGCTGGTCAGTCAGTGCTGAGTCAATACCTCAAACAACCACATTTTAGAACTGTCCCTTTAAACCTTGTTATGACTTCCTCTCCCTCTGGAGGTCAAAGATCAGCCCCCACCCCACCCCCACCAGGTTTTAGGACTTTTCTAAAAGCCATTGATTATAGATGTGTGTGGTGTTCAACTGTACAGAGACTAAAAATGTATGTAAGAGTGCCCCCCGTCCCCCGCCCCCCCACCACACGGCGTAACCTGCTTTGTCTCATTAAAGATCCAATTAAAACCTGTTTTTATGAAACCACCAAGTTCACGTCCTTCTCTGACCACATCCTCTTCACTTCTGACCACACCCTCTGCATCTCTGACCACACCCTCATCACTTCTGACCACACCCTCTTCACCTCTGACCACACCCTCACACACGAACTCCACTTCGCTGCCATGGCAACGATCGTGCAACCAGAATGAAGGAGTGCGAGTGGTGGAGAGGAAGGGTCAGGGTTGGTGAATGGATGTTCCTAATTATTTGGCCATTGATATGTTTGACCTACGCAGTGAAGAGCCAGTGGTCACTGCGGGGGGGTCACTGTGGGGGGTCACTGCGGGGGCTCTGGTGTCACAGTGGGAATTCACTGTGACACTGCCAGGATTCCACCAGAGCCTGAAGGAGGAGCCGCTCCATAACTGAGGCTGAAAACACACAACACGGACGTTTGACCCCTAGTGGTCAAAATGGGGACCTGTGGTAACGATGTGGAGTAATGTATATAAACAGACTTTTTTTTCTGTTTTGTATGTGACAAAAAGTAATGAAAATGTAGAAATTTTGACCTGAGAAAAAGCATGATCTTCAAATCAATGTCACTATGATGAGGTCACATTCAGGAGGATTAAAGGGACAGTTCAGGTTTTGCTGTGGTTGTATGACATACGGCCACTCAGCTGGGAGCGCCCCCTGCACTGAGAACAGAATACTTTCAACATTTTATCTTTGTGCTTACCTTTCAACATGAAAAACTAGGACGTTTGTAAACCACTGTGGACCAATGTGAAACAATGTGGACCAATGTGGACCAATGTGGACCAATGTGGACCAAGGTCCAAAGACACAACAGTGACTTTAGGTCATAGAACCAGAAGAACTGCTAGTCCACTGCTGCCTCATGTGGTCAGTTTGTTTCACTAAAGGGAAATCCAAACTAACAATGGAGACAGCAGTGACGTCACTGGTCCGTTCGCTGGTCCGTTCGCTGGTCCGTTCGCTGGTCCGTTCGCTGGTCCGTTCGCTGGTCCGTTCGCTGGTCCGTTCGCTGGTCCGTTCGCTGGTCCGTTCGCTGGTCCGTTCGCTGGTCAGTCAGTGCTGAGTCAATACCTCAAACAACCACATTTTAGAACTGTCCCTTTAAACCTTGTTATGACTTCCTCTCCCTCTGGAGGTCAAAGATCAGCCCCCACCCCACCCCCACCAGGTTTTAGGACTTTTCTAAAAGCCATTGATTATAGATGTGTGTGGTGTTCAACTGTACAGAGACTAAAAATGTATGTAAGAGTGCCCCCCCGTCCCCCGCCCCCCCACCACATGGTGTAACCTGCTTTGTCTCATTAAAGATCCAATTAAAACCTGTTTTTATGAAACCACCAAGTTCACGTCCTTCTCTGACCACATCCTCTTCACTTCTGACCACACCCTCTGCATCTCTGACCACACCCTCATCACTTCTGACCACACCCTCTTCACCTCTGACCACACCCTCACACACGAACTCCACTTCGCTGCCATGGCAACGATCGTGCAACCAGAATGAAGGAGTGCGAGTGGTGGAGAGGAAGGGTCAGGGTTGGTGAATGGATGTTCCTAATTATTTGGCCATTGATATGTTTGACCTACGCAGTGAAGAGCCAGTGGTCACTGCGGGGGGGTCACTGTGGGGGGTCACTGCGGGGGCTCTGGTGTCACAGTGGGAATTCACTGTGACACTGCCAGGATTCCACCAGAGCCTGAAGGAGGAGCCGTTCCATCGGAGCCACAGCGAGGGTCTTAGCAGCCCATTAATCTCCCATCAGCCCCTGCAGTTCATGCTGTTGTTTATGACTGTGGAAACACACGAGGCTTTGACTCTGATGAGTTATCTGTAAATGTCGAGGAAATCCTTTCTACACCAACAATACTTACACAGAAGTGACGCTAGCCCAAGTCGTACAGTACCTCACACCTACAGACATGTGGCGCTGTCTACTTCCATCAACAAAATCAAAACAAAATCAAACACAAAGAGAACGATGCATAAAGCTGAATAATATAAACTAGAGTGTATTAAACAGTCATGGCTAGTTTTATGGACAGGGGGCGCTCACAACAGACGCATCTGTTGTAGAAAGTCATGGATCAGAGCAGGGAGTCATGGATCAGAGCAGGGAGTCATGGATCAGAACAGGGAGTCATGGATCAGAGCAGGGAGCAGATCCATGGAAATAAAAAGAAGAGTTCAACTCCAAAATAACTCCAAAATATAAAAAGATCATCTGAGCAAAAAATAATATTTGACAAAATAATAAAAACAGAAATAAATTCAGAAATAGCTTAATGTTGGTGCATTTAAAAAAGCTGAAATGAAGCTAAAATAAAAAGCTAATCAAATAAATCAGAACTATGTAGACGTTGAGTTAACGTTAAAGATGTCAGTACATAGAACACGAGTAAGAGGAAAAAATTGTCAAAAGAACAAAAACTTAACAAAACAAAAAGTGTAACCTTGTATGATTTCAGAATAAAAGTGCATCAAAACAAAAGCTTAGCGTCATTAGTGCCATTAGCCAAAATAACACTTTCAGCTATTTAAGAAATAATTGCAAAAAAGCTAAGAATGAATCACAGTCGATGTGAAATAATTACGTCAGAGAGAGAATATATTACCAATTAGCCTTAGCTAGCTTTCACATGCTAAAAGCATTGTCATAAAGTAAGCTAAAGTTAGCTAGCCAACTGTTCATCGTTGGTTGTACGTCGTTGCTCAGTTTTAGCCAAGAAGTTAGATGTTAGCAGAATTGTGTTTCAACAATCTCTGATTTAACAAATAAAACAACAGTTTGGTTTTGATTCTTGACTGTGTTTCTTTTCTCTTCACCGATGAATCCATGAATTATTCTCTAAAATCCCGGATCTTTGCTCTTTATTAACTCCTGCGTTGAACAGTCTGTGTAAATAACTCATCAAAACTCTGAGCCATAGTCATTTTGTTGAGTTAATAACTTTTATCAGAGACTTTTTTGATAATCCTCGGCAGGAACAGATGGAACAGACGACGGTTCTCTGTCTCTGCTGTGATTATCGCAGTGATCCGTCATAATCGTGTCCCTGTCGCTTCTTCACTTCTACTCATCCACCACAGCACGGAGGAACGTGCCAACGCAAACAGACCTTTTAGAGCACGGATGAGTGGAGATCTGACCATTAAAGGTGGAACACGTGGAATATTAAACCAAGGGTTTAAAGATAACGAATGAAACTGAAACTTCTCATCAGTTTCATGTTGACATAAAGATGTCAGAACTGTAAATGACACCGCTTTGTTGTTCCACACCAAACTCCATGAAGAAAACGGTTGATTTAAGGCAGCAACCAAAAGCATGTGGTAACTGTTGATCTGCTGCTGTCGATGCCCACCCAGCCCCCCCCAGCCTGTGGTCCAGTTCTTCCTCCTCGTCCAACTGTAAACCATTAGGAGTCCTAACATTCCTCCAGTTCAGACTCTAAACCCACTGATCTCTTCAGCTTCTGCAGCTTCAGTCTTCCTACGTGTCATTTCCTGTTTGCCTCAGGACTCAGCACCACCTTTCCTCCGCCCTCCATCCATCCAATAAACTGACACTGACTGTCTGTGCTTCTCCTGATTTTGATTTTAGGCTCAGGTTTCTCTGGGCTCAGACCAACGATGGAGACATTGACCATGTGACTGAG